CACAGGTGCTCTGAGCCAGGGCTGGGGCTCCTCCCATCCGTCTTCCAGCTTTCCCATGTGTCTCTCGTCAGCATGAACTGTCTCCTGAACTCATGACCTATTTCTACTGACTGCTGGACATTTCCATCTGCAAGTTCCATGGGCTCCTCGCCTGACAAATCACAAATCATACCCCTCATTCCCTCCCCCTTACTGTGACCTTTCACCTGAGGACCTCTTGGCTAATAGCACCTGGCTCTCCACATTACTATCTTGGGAATCAGCTCTCTCCTTTGTCCACAAAATCTGACTGGTCACAAGTCCAGGCACTTTTACTTCCTAAACCCACCACCTCTCCATCCTTGTTGTCACTGTCATCTGGACGTCTGCAGTTTCCTTTTCTCATCACAAACAGTGAGGCCTCCCTCTGGGCTACCTCCCTCATGTTGAAAGAGCACCTCTTCTAAAATATAACTCTGGATCTGGCACTCTCCAGCTCTGAAAATCTTCAGGGTTTCCTCATCACCTGCAGTTTGACTATTGGCAAGGGCCATCATCTGGCTCTTTTCATTTGCTGGAAACCTGTACCTCATCCCTTGGTCATGAAGGGTATGACCACAGGACTTTTGCACATGTGTGTACCACAGCCTGAAATGCCCCGTTTGGTCTGAAAATCACTTCTTAAATGAGAGATGCAATTCAAATGTGTCCTCCCATGTACAGCGTTCTCTTATGCCCTTCCCAACAGCAAAAAAAAGAAAAAAAAAAAAAGGCAAGCAGTGCTTTCCCCAACACCTGGGCCCCTTATAAGACCATGTTTATCTTTCCTATTAGACACAAGGTCTGCTTCCTGAAGTATCCCAAACATAGTGACTGGCTCTCAGCATGGCTGTTTGCAAGGCATCCTGGCACATACAACTGCATGCCAAGAACACACTAAGTACTTTATGGTCATTGTCGGCCTTACACTCTTTCCCAGGACCCTGTGGTGGAACGTCCTCTCTATCTAACAAGCTGGGGAACTGAGGTCAAGAAAGGCTAAACAACTTCTGATTAAGAATAACTTACAAAGTGGAGAAGCCAAGGTTTGAACCAATGTCTGCCCAACTCAGATTCTGCTCTAGCCAAGAGGCCAGCAGCTCTCGAAACTGACTGACCATTAATACCCACCATACCCCCATGCCTGCCACCACAATGAGAAATTTTTAAAATGCATCTTCCTAGTTCATGTCCCAGAACTACTAAATTTGAATCAGAACTACCAAAGCATGGGAGTCCGTATGGCTCAAGCTCTCCAGGTGGTCACAATAACCAAGGTGGTTTCAGGCATCACTGCACTGGTCCCCAGGCCTTTCTACTAGAGAAAATTCTGGTCCAGGCCTTTGGAAAGAGCTTAGAGCTGGCGACATAAGTCCAGGAACAATTTACCTAGAAAGGGAATATGAACTTGTGGAAGCAGCTGGGCCCACCAAAGGCAGAGTATAGAAAGAGAAAATAAGAGGGCAAGAGAGAACCCTGGTAGACGTTCCCACAGAAGCAGGAAAAGAAACCGGAAGAAACAGGGGGGAAAAAATGGTAAGACAGACAGGAGAAGACTTAATAGTAACTCTGTCCCAAAGCCAGGGGATAAAAGTTTTGCAAAGGGATATCTGATAACATGAGATGCTGTGGACAGGAGGAGGGGGGCCCAGACGGTAACACTCATAGTGGTTATGTCCACAGAGCAGAATCATATCCTGACCTGCAAGCTGACGTGGATTTTGCTTGGTTGCTTGTTATAGGTGTTTTCTAATACTGCTTGACCACTGTGCTCCCCTATCCAGTCTGTGGCCTTCACTGCCCCAGGGAAGGTATGACACAGTGGAAGAGCAGAGAACAGGAGTCCAACTGTGGCTTTGCAGTCAGAGAGCAGGTCAGGGCATTGATGACAGTCTGCAAGTCCACAGGAGGAGTCTGCTGGGGGACTCTGTGCAAACAAAGGTCCCAAGCTGGCAAACAGGAGGGTATCAGCAAGGAAACAAAGGTGAGTGAGACCCTGCAGTGTGTCCTTCCAAAATGACATTTGAAATCTTCACCACCCCCCATTCCCACAGTCCCAGAAGAGACAGAGATCTAGAGCTGGAGAGACCCTGTGCAGGCAAACAAGAGACTGCTCTGCCTGCATGGGTCAAAGACCAAGGCCCTTCCAGAAGGGACGAGGTCATTTTAACAGTGTGGACTGACCATGCCAAGAGCCCCACAATGCAGAGGCCCTGGAGAAGTCCCCAGGACTAAGCTACAGCTCCGGGGAGGGGGCCGAGAGCCCTACATTGCAGAGGCGAGGTTTATGCCACCAGGCCAAATGAAGTCTCTAATCAGACGTTTTGTTCAGTTATAGGAAAGTAAAAACAAGTTACATTTCTTTCCCTCCCGAGTTTGCCCACTGAGCCCCATATCTATTACATTCCAGAGATGGAGATAGAAGACAGAGAACGAGGAGCTGAGGAGAGAGAAAAATCAAACTGGCAGAGATAGCACACATAGCCTCTTCCTCAGAAAGAATTGTTTTTTCTTAGTTTGTATATATGGCCATCAAAGGAAGTTCAAGGGTAGAACTAGCAGAATTAAGGGATTCTGTGTGTGTGTGCACGCGCGTACGTGTGTATATGTGTGTGTTTCAGATGGAAACATGATTATGCTTCCTTAATATTAAATCACTGCCCAACAATGGCTTGAAAGAGGCAGGAATTCCCTAGGCAACTGGAAGCCCCTTTTCAAACTCCCACACTCTCTTCTGCACCCACCAATTCCTAGTGCAACATCACCAACAAAGTTCACTAGCTGTCCCCACCACATCTCTCCCTCCAACTGCCTAACCCTCCATCTAGAAGGAATAGAGGAGCCAAAGGCAACACAAGGCTGCCACTGGGACACCTTGAAAAGCTTGGGCTTGCATGCTGGTGTTATTCTTTTTTGTTTTTTTGGTTTTTTTTTAAAACAGCTTTATTGAGGTATAATTTACATATTGCAAAATTCACCCATTGTAAATATATGACTCAATGATTTTTAGTAAAGTTGTACAGTTGTGCAACCATCACTACCATCTAGTTTTAAAATACTTCCATCACTCTGCGGTGCGATTTGAAAAACCACGGTCCTGCCCTGGCTGGGTGGCTCAGTTGGTTGGAGCATTGTCCCATACACCAAGAGGTTGTGGGTTTGATCCCCGGTCAGGGTGTGTAAAGGAGGCAACCAATCAATGTTTCTCTCTCACATAGATGTTTTTCTCCCTCTTTCTCTCTAAATAAACAAACAAACATAATCTTTGGTGAGGATTAAAAAAAAAACAACCCCTCAGTCCCTCCAGCATTCTCTATACCTGGCAACCTCACTCTAGCTCCAGAGAAACCCAACATAACCATTAGTCTTCAGCTGGCCATCTGCTTCCAGGGGCAGGGGGTTCATGGATCTACCAGACCCGGCTTCCCTCTGTTACAGCTCTTGGGGGGCCCTGCTAACCCTCCTGGAAACTCTGGGGTGCAGGCTCTTCTGGGGCCATCCCTGGAGCCTGAGACAAGACCAAACTCCTCTACCTACTCTCAGCACTGCTTTGGCCTAGAGTAGACTCAAAGCTTCACTGACTGCAGAACAACACATGGATTCTTTTCTTTTTTAAGTTGCAAATTAGCTGCTAAGCTGCAGGGGTTTTGGAGGACTGTGGTCGGGGAGACTGCAGGCACACACAGAAGTAGTATCACTGGTGGAAGGAGTGCCTGCTTCTCCAGCGGCCATTTGGGAGACACTTTGCTTACATTTATTTTAACACAGTAAAGATTTCTTGCCTGTTAAGAGACAAGGTCACACCACGGAAGGCCGTGTGGACTACAGCGAATGCTCTGCCTGCCGACTCCAGCCATGTCACCGCTCAGTGCTCGCTGGCCTGCTGTCGTCCCCAACACAGCCCCAGCCAAGCCATAAGACAGAGCCTGGCTCACACCAGACACCTTGTCCAATACGGAGTGGGAGCTAACTGTGAAACTGGGAAACGGCAGAGGGTTTAAAGCATGCATCAGGTTTACTTGCTGAAGGGGCCAAAGAAAATGTCAAAGGATAAAAGGCAATAGAATTACACCCATGATGTCATCAGCAGCCGGCAACAATGGAAAGGAGAACCTTGTAACCCTGCTGCTTCTGTTAGAAAGGATCCCAATCGACAGTCCAATCTTGCTAATCAAGGGAAGATGCTGGCGACACGGGAAGATGGGGATCACAGGAGTGAGGGTGTCTCTGCCCGGGGAGCAGAAACGGGATCTTCCCCATGTGCCCCAGGGTTGCCAACTGCATTCCAGAGCTCGTTTCCTCCCATGCCCAGATGGAGCAAAAGCCTCTGTAATGACTTCACACTCAGCCAAAAGTAAACACTCTCCATGCTTTTTCCATGGACAAATTCTAACCCCAAATTGCCAGCACTGGACTCCAAACAGTCCAAATGGAAAGCTGCCTTTCCCAAGAAAATAAGACCTTTTTAACTAAATAATATATCTTGGCTGCAAAAGCAAACTTTCCTAAAAGCTTCCTAGAAATTATTTATCGTGCAATGATACTGCAGACCACCTGACCAAGCCCTACCCATGAACAAAGACCCCTAAAAACACCAAATGGTCAGAGAATAAAAGCTCACTCCACAATTGCCTGCCCTACAATGCATGCTTCATGTGACAGCACCCGGAGGACCTGCTACACACACACACATTCTCTCTCTCTCCCTCTCTCTCTCCCCCGCCCCGTCTCTCTCTCACACAGTCACACCCAGAACACACTGCCACCTGGCTGGAGTAGTCTTTCTGAAAACAAGCTGTGATAAAACAGGTGCTAGATCGAATGAAGAGCAGAACAGCCCCAAGATGTGAGCACGGCAGCGCTGCCATACACATCTCGCACAGGCCTCAACACACGTCTCACTGCTCGCTCACATTCCAGCTTGAAGCCACGCAGTTCAAGTCGGTCCTCCGCTGAAAAGCAGACGTGGATGGTGGACTTACCAGGTTGGAATTGGTGGCGTTGGAGTCATCTTCTGGAAAGGGAATATAGATCGCTAAGGCCACACAATTGGCAAAAATAGTCAGTAAAATAATGATTTCAAATGGTCTGAGGAAGGGAGTTAAGGAAGTTAATGTTGCAGAAAGCACAAGTGAAACAAACATACATATATGTTTTTAAATGAATCAAAGATTCATAAGAATCTTGTTTAAACAATACATTCCAAGCCCCTTGTATTCTGAAAAGAAACATATGCCTTTTTAAGCACTTCTAATGGGTCCCTGCCAAAATTTTTCCTAATATGTCAAAAGCAGTGGAGGCCAGTCGCGTGCCAGAGTAAACACAGATTTCTAAAAACTTTTTTCCCCTTCTTTTATTTATTTAGCTTGCACTGGAGTTCACTTCCTCTCCTGGGTGCTCAGGTTGCTTTTGAAGAGCAGGACCTGCTGCAGCCAGGACCCGCGTGCCCCAAGCGCCCCTTTCCTGGGCTTACCTGCTGCCACCCAGGGACTCCAGCGTGGGTGGGAGAGGCAGGACAGAGGGGCACTGCAGGCAGAAACTAGACTTTTAAGATCTTTCATTTGAAATTTGGAGACTTTATTTTTAATCTTTTAACTTGAAGTTTAGAGTGCTTTTTCCCTTTCTGCCTTATTCCCTGACAGCTTCCAGGGAACCTGAGGATGGCCCGGACTGCGGGACCCCCAAGAGCACAGAGGCATGGGTACTGTGCATCTAGGGTACGGCAGCCACCTTTCTTTAAGGCACAGCTGCAGGCAGGATACCTAAACCTCTCCAGGCTCTGGGGGCCCTGCCTCCCGCGGGCGAGGCTTACGTTCCGGGTCCTCCCCGCCTCCCCTTGGTTCGTGCCAGCATCTAACGGGACGAGCTAAGGTCCACCCACCAGCAGCAGTGCACTCGGCAGGGATGCTATGCCTCGATTTATTTATCAAAACATCAGGGCTGGGCACAATCTCAGGAGAGAAATGAGCTCATGGAATACTACCTCTTCCACCCTGCACCCACAACTAAAGGCCAGAAAGGGGAAGCTTCAGAGGAAGCTCCCAGTTTACGCTCTTCCAGGCCCACCTCCCCCAACCCCTGGCACTGCCAGCCTTTCAGCCTAGTCCATGAAGCCTGGAGGGGGATGAAGAGGATGTAGATTCCTGAGAGAAGGAACCGGCTTCATTTCCCAGGACATAAAACCTGCACTCACCAAGTTAACAAATCTTGAAGCAGCACAAGACTGACAGATCAGCTAGTCTAAACCTCTGAGGCCCAGAGAGCCTGAGAAACGTTCCCAAGGCCCCACATCAGGTCCTCACCAGCCAGGACTAACATCCCCCTGCCATAGGTGGCCTCTGACCTCTGTTGACAGGGAAGCCCGGAGCCTGGAAGAACTCTTAGTGATTACCTAGTCCAGGCTTCCCCGCCAGCGTGCTGGTCATCGACCCCCCGCCCCGGCTCCATGGGTGCAGCCAGGGTCCACTCGCCGAGCGTGCCCCGTGAAGGCTGCCATTTTCTGTGTGCCTTGGCATCACGACCACAGCATGCAGTGGGCCTGCCCAACCTCCCAGCTTGACAGGCATAGAAAGTAAAACACCCTCTCCCAGATCCCCAGCTGGCAAATGGCAGAGCCAGGACCGTAACCAGACCTACTAACTCATCTTTTCCAACTTGCCCGCCGGCCCCGAGTTGGCCAAGGAACAAGTGATGATGATGATGATGATGATGGTAACAGTAAGGGCACAGCTAGTATTTATTGAGAGCTTATTCTGGGCCAGATACTGTTCCAGCTGCTCTACACAAACACCCTAAGTGAAATGTACAATTTTTATCCCCACTTCTAAATGAATGGTTAAAGGTCAACCTGTCCAAGGTCAAGAGATTGTGGAACGGTGGGATTCAAACCCAGAAAGCCTGGTTCCAGAGTCTAAGTTTGTGAGGACATCTCTACGCTGATCTATTCTGACGTGATCCTGATGCATTTTAAGGAAGTGAGTTCTTTTAGCCCTCTTACCATATCCCCCTTCCTCCTCGCCCTGTCCCCTCCTGCTTGGGAGAGTGAGGTTCAGCCTAAAGGCTGGTCAGTTTTGTTCTAATCACCTGATCCTCTGTGCTCCCCCATCAGGACAAGGGCACACTAGCTCAACTGAGCCAGACCTCAAGCATCCAGTCGTCAAAGTGCCAACTCGGCCCCTCCCCAGAGTGGGCGAGGGCTACGCTTGGGGTGCTCCTTGCATTGTCAGTTCCATCTCCTCCTCTCCTCCCCCATTCAGGCTATCCATCCATCGCCTTATGCTAAAAGGACGGCCTAAAGCTGGGGAAGATGATGAGTAAAGAAACCAATCAGGCAGATAAGAAAAGCCATCAGCTGCAGAGGACCAGGTAAGCCCTGGAAGTGTTTTCTGTGTCACCCCGGGACAACCTGATCATTTTTTAAACTGCTGCCTCTTCTTAATGACAGCATCAGATTCCACTCTTTTGAGAGCACTGACTGGCTGGTAAGCCAGACCATCTCCTTACCTGCCAGCTACCCTTCAAAGGCAGGCTGGGAAGGCCACCCAACCAGTACTGCCAAGGCTAGGTCTCCTTTTTCTCCCGTGGAGGACGCATTCCCTAGGAGAGTGGCCGCAGCACCCCCTGCCCATGTGCGGAGGGCGGTGCAGGGAGGCGGCTGTGGTCCACAGTGGGCACACTGGGTAACTGCCTTGTTAACACAGCTGCTGACTCCAGCATCATGGGGCCCGACCAGTTCCCATGGACAGGGCCTCCCACACTTCCGTTCGGAAGCCCTGGTTCGTCCACTCTTCCCCCGCCTGCCCTGTGTATTACTGTCACCTCCCTCTCTTCCCTTCTCCCAGGCTCTGTATGTCATCCACGCAGGGACCCATCCATCCCAGGAGGTTAACTAGTACTCACTGAACATGCCTCCTAAAGGAGCTTTAACACTTTGGGAGCTGACTGTGGTTACTCCCCATTAGAGGTGAGGAAACTGAAGCTCCAGGGGGTCAGGTGCCAGGACCACAAGAGGATGGGTGTTCAGGCCCCAAGCCCAGGTCCCACTGTGCCCCCCAGGGCTGGACGGCATCCCCTGGACACCCGCCGCAGGGCCTCTTCTGTGCTATGGGCGCATGGAGTGTGGGGAGTACATGGATTTGCGGGCTGGGGAACCTAGATTTGAAACCCCACTGTCAGGTGCCAGCTGTGTGATCTGGGAAAGTTCTGCAGCTTCTCCAGGTCTCAGTGTCCCCCTCTCTAGGAATCCTGACATGCAGGGTCCCCAGCCATCCCAAGCCATAGTTCTGAGTGAGCAGCTCTGACAGCGGCCTGCTGGGGACACCCAAGCTGAGCCTCTCACCCAATCATCTAGGAACCAGAGCCACACTTGGCCAGTCAGGACAGACTGGCCGGCTCTGGAGCAGCCACTTGGCTTGAACTGTATTCTCTGAAAGTCACTTTTGAGTCGAGGGGTTCAAACACTGATAGAACTAGCATTTCTTTCTGAGGAAAAAAAAAACAACTTTCTTTTCTCCCTGAGTCATCTTCTTTGGCCTTTCAACCACTGCCCAAGACTTTTAAATCTTTCCATAGAAACTCATGAATGGAACCTAACACCCCCATCTTGAACCTTCAGAGCCCCGGCAGCCCTGCCTGAATGAATCCTTACTATAAAAATGCCCAAGACTAAGTCCCAGGGTTCTAGTCCTGTCTGGGATTGACAGGACTAGATGGCCCCAAGAGTCGCTCCTGTGGGACTCAGTGTCATCACTAGGGAAAGTCAGGGGTGGACCTACGGATATTTAAGGTCCTTTCCAACTCTACCCACAATTCCCATAATGCCAAGGGTCCTGTAATTCCACTGTGAGGGCCCAACCTTTCAAAGCCATTTTCTCTCAAGGGCCCGGTCACTGGTTTCTATACAAAGTAGGTCTGTGTTTAATAACGCAGGCCAGTGTTCTCACGTTGGCTGCACATCAGAATCACCTGAAGAGTTTGAAAACATGCCTGGGTGGAGCTCAGGCACTACTGTATTATTACAGCTTGCCAGGTGATGCTAAGGTACAGCCCAGGTTGAGAACCACTGTTCCAGGTCCTTCAACCAAGAGCTGGAGTCACTGACCACCACTGTCTTGAACTTCCTGGGCTCCTCCACCCTAGAGGGAGGGAGGTCATGGCACTATGCCAGAGCCATGATGGGCGACGAAGGCTGTGCGGTGGCAGCATGAAGCCTCTATTAACCCAATACACCAATGGGTCCCTGGACAGGCTCAGCTGGGTAAGAGCGTATGTCATAACCCGTTAGGCTCATTTTCTCAAATATTGGTTATTAAATGGAAAAGAAAAGAAAAGAAACGCCTGGGAAGCTTGTTATACAAGCAGATTCCTAGGTCCTATCCTCAGAGATTCTGATTTATCAAGTCTGGAGTAGCACCTAGAACTCTGCATTTTAACAGTGCCCCAGCAGATGCGGTGGGCCTCATAACCATTTTATAGGCTCAGCAGGGATAACACAGCTCACCGGCCGGCAGGCCATGGGGAGCTGGCCCCACTGGGGCTCCAGGGACACACACCCTGCCCACACAGGGGCACAAAGGATATTTCCATTCGACAATGCTGATGCACGCCCTCCGGATGGGGTTCTTTAGAGTGAGGCAGAGCAGGGCGCGAGGCGGGCGTGTGGCAGTGGTGCTGCCCTGCTTCTTGGGTTTCCCATACTGCTGCCGCTTCCGCTGGGTGGAGCTGACCGTGGAGATGGTCGCATTGCCAGCGCTTCCCATCAGCTTGGCCTGCCGGGCCGCATCGATGGCTGCCTGCCAGGACAGGGCTGCCCCGGGCGTGGGGATGTGCTCGGGGACAAGCCCTGCCGCTGCATTGGCATTCATGTTGGCATGAGCTGGGCGTGGGCTCCCATAGTTGGAACCTGTAGAAGATAGAAGACAACAGTCACCCGGGAGAAAACAGGAGAGCTTGTAATAAGCTCTGGATCCCAGACTCACAATTGCTTAAAAACTTTTCTATAAAACTTTTGCAGTTTGGAGGAGGCGCGTGGAAACATTAGTACGTGATGCTGAAAAAAGAGAGTCAGGAAATCTGTTCTAGTCCTGGCTCAGCTGTGTGACCTTGTGAATGTCAGTCACCCTCTCTAGTCTCACTGCCTAATTTTAGGCGGACGTCACATGAGATATGTGTATTACAACATGTATGGACCTCAGAAACAGTGCTAGAGAAAGGCAGGCTACAGAGAAAGAAAAATACACAATGCAGTATATGTAAATTAAAATATATTTATATAAGAACCCATAACTAAAACGATATTCGTTAAAGAACAGAATGATTGTTTAAAGAAGGTTAGGAAAATGGGAGTGAAATACTGAGATAAAAAGGAAAAATGAATGGATGAATGAATGAAGTGAATAAGAGAGGCATTACATTAAGAATCAATAATACAAATGCACAATGAATTGAAGAGTATGATTCACTCAATTCTCTGCACCTGAATTCCAAAAAATAAAAATAAGTATAATAAAATGACAGGGTTAGACCAAAGTAAGGTTATATCCAGGTACCTCAAACCCAGCAGGACACTCAGCACTGGTTTAACAGGAGGGAGTGGGGGGTGTATGGTGTTAAGTTATGTCAGCCAATATTTTGACATCCACCTGCCATTGGGAAATAGGATCTATATACCCTTTCCTCCTGAATGGGACTGGCCTGTGGTAACTGTTTTGACCAATAAGTACAGCAGAAGTGATGGTAATGTTGTATCCACCTGACTCTCTTTGGCCCTAGGGGAAGCCAAACACCCCACAAGGCAGCCTGGTTGCCCCAAGGAAGCCCACTGACCCCACACAGAGAGACGGTACTCAGAGGGACAGATTCCCAGCCACTCTCCAGCTGTTCCGGTCACCATCTGACCGCAGCTGCATGAGACCCCAAGCTAGAACCACCTAGCCAAGCCCTTCCTGTGGCAGGGCTGACTGGGTGGGGTAGAGACAGACACTCCAGGAAGGAAACCTGAGTAGGAACCAGCGAAATCCAGAGGAGGGACCTCTGCAGTGCTCTGGTTTAAAGGCAACTAGAGCCTTCAAGACCATCCCTAAGACCCCACACATACACAGTCCTGTCAGCCTGATGCCTCCCCCAGAATCCGACAAGGTTTTCCAGGTAATCAGCTCAGCCTGGGCCCAAACTTGAATGGCCCAGGAACAGAAGTGTGACTTTGAGATCTGCCCACTGCCCAGGTGCCTCGGGATCAAGGGACACTGCTGGGAATGGGGTACCTACTGTAGGCAGAGAGCCCAGCATCTGGATGCCATGCCCAGTTGCCCGGAAGATCGTGGCTAGAGCTGGCAGACCAGGTACACAGACATCACTCCCAAGCTCCCCCACTGATACCCTCCACTCTGCTCAGTGTACATAAGGTCCTTCCAGGAAGCTGCGGAGCCCTTACCTCCCCACTGAAACTCATCAGGATTCAGATGAGCACTTGGCACCTTACTAGCCACCTCTCCCCAGCTCTTATCTGAAGTGAATTCTTCTGCATTTGACCTTAAGGTAACTTCTGCTCCCAGTGTGACCTGCTGTCCAGAAACTCTCATCCCCACCACCACCCTTGTCCTCCCCAGGGACCGGTTCAGAGATGAACGCCTGACCCACCTCAGCCAGTGAGAACATTTTCACCCACAGACTGTCTGTCCTAGAGACAGACTCTAACAATGACATTGGGTTCCTGCATCCAGCCATGCCTGATGATGACAGCCTTACCCTGAACTTTCTGCTTTTAGTATTTAAGTAACAGCTTAAGCTCATTTGAATTGGGTTTCTGTGCCTGACAATGAAAAATGGCCTGACTAGTAAGTATGGTTGCTCAGTGCCACAAAGCTTGAACCTGGCTGGGGTGTCATTTCTGCCAGATTCCAAAGGGGTCTATGTCCTTTCCATCACCATACCCATGACAGACAATAAGTCTCCATTCTCATGCCAGTCGATTGGCACCGCTGTCCAAAATGCCATACCTAAAGGATTCTGAGACTCTTCGGAGTACAACAGGAAAGCATATCATGATAGATTAGTGATGTCTGTATGGGCGCCAAGGGTAGGGAATGGTATCGCAGATGCCACAGATTTACCACCCTGTGTGATACCAAGATGAGCACATCAGGTCTTCATTAATACCAGCTGGTCTACTGACTTCTTATCCCCTGACAGTTGCCTCCTGCACAATTGTCACTTGGTCCCTGTAGCATTAGAACCCCACTCTCATCCCCTAAGGCCTGGTAAACCGCCTCTTTGCTATACTCAATCCATGGCTGTTTTCTCAACATGACACTGACTCCTCTCTCACCGTATATTCACTCTCCGCCTTTCCTGTGCCCCAGCTGTTCTAGGCAGCTGCCACACCCCCAGGGGAAAAGCATATTAACCAGAATGTCAGAACCATGGAGAACCCAACACTTCCCAGGAGAAGTCTCATCTCCCACAGACCTCTCTATGCTCACCAGGTGGAGCCTACACATAAAGCAAAGAAGACCCCAAGAAGGCTGGGCCTTTACCATTCTTATAAGACCCTCCAGAGGAAAAAATTAGGAGAGAGCATTTAAATTAATAAAGGCACCTGAAGCACAAGAACCACTTTAACAACCAGCAAGCATGAGTATCTCCATTTAACACATGAGAAAACAAAGGAGTGTATGACTCATTAAAGGTCACAAAGTGAGACAATGGAAGATTTCTGCAGCACACAGAGGACTCACAGTTAAATGCTAGACTATACTCCGCCTCCTCAGACCTCACACACGGTCCACATGCATATACACGTGCACGCTCACATATGTGGCCACAAGCAAAGCACACACCTCCTACTGGTTTATGGGCCTTGAGGTTGAAGAGGCTGCGTTTCTGACCCAAAGAACATCCTTTATGTTCATGTGATCTTCATGGGATGGCATTCACTACATGAACAGCTCCTTTAGCAGCCATGGGCACCTTTGGGATGAATCAAGTGGAAGGTGTCCCTGTTCCAATTTGCTGCACTGGAGTGACTGAGCCCAACTTCATCTCCTGTCTTACTGGATTCAACAGACCAGGCGGCAACTGTAACTGTGTCTGTTCAATTTGTACATCATTTTTCCTTCCTGGGCTCCCTGTTTGGCATTGGCAATGCTTAATAGACTATTTTACTCCTGGAGTGACTTCTCCTCTTCCTCACCTGTATAAAAGCAGCCATGTCTCCACTGTCAGCCTTTCCAGACCCCAATTCTCTCCTCACACAAGTTCTCAAGACTTCACACCTTCCTACTGTCTTCACACGCTAATCTTTGTACTCACCCTCAAGCATTGTTAATCACCCTCTCTCACACCACTTGCAAGTACCACAGACCAAGGGGTATTTGGACACTAGGGAAGAAGGCAGAGAGCACCGGTGCGAGAGCACGTCCACGGCCTTGGACAGGCTATGTGTGGAGTGGGGAGCCCACAGCTCCTGAGCGCTAAATGGCCAGGGCTGCGCAGAGCCAAGAGGGGTTCTGAAAGCCACGCCCTGGTAGGCTGCCTTTTGAGCCACCCCACACCATGGGTGACCTCATTCACATTGTGAACCGTTCCCAGAGCACAAGGACCTCTCTGGAGCACACCATCTGGAGAAAGCACATACGAATAAGCCCATGGGGAAAAAATGGAATGTCAACCTCTCCCCAGCTGGAGGACAAGAAAACACCCTTCCGTGTTTGGTCCTGGCAGTTCTGAGCATCGCTGCAGCCCTGTGACATGATTGAGGGCACTGCCACACAAAAACCACACACAGGTGAGCCAGGCGTGGCCCCTCAGGGCTCCTCTGCTAGGGCTGAACTCCAAGCTTGGCCTCCCCTTCTCCAAAGCAGTTTTCCCCACCAGGCTGGAGGCTCTGTGAGTACCACCAGGTCTGCCATGACAAGGAGGCACAACTCTCCAAGAATCCCAGGAATGAAACACTCTGTCTCCGGCTCAACATTTTTATATCCAGAACAGTGCCATGGAGGAAAGGCAAGCAGGATTGTGTCCCTGATGGCTTTTGTTAGCACAAAATAAACCACCCAATGCAAAGAGACCAATTTTCAAATTATAAAGCTAATTCAAAGCTCTGACTCCTGGTTGCCAGCTGAAAAGATGCCACTTTTAAAGTCTGCTCTGGCTCTTGCCTTACTAGACTATTTCCACTGATGCTCTCATCCCTGAAAGAGCCCCAGAACAGCAGCTCAGCAAATCAGGCCACACAGAAACAGGTGGGTGCCCACAGCAGCAATCTCTTTCCCGTACATAAGGAAATGACTCCTATTTGTCAAATGGCCAAGCTTCCCTGAAGACAGCAGCAGTTCCCTCCTCCCACACACAGAAACTGCTGCTTCTCCAAGCGGACAGGACGAGGGCAAGCCCCCACTACAAACAGGTCAGCTGCAGGTCATTCTACTCTGCAAAGTCCACAGAGGAGTCCAAGTCAGGAGGCAGTGGCTTATGCCTCCTTGGTACCCACCTCCCTTCTGGGATAAGGTGGGGTGCTTAAGACCTAGAAGGTGTTTGATGATGAAAGGTTAATTCTTCCCCCTTTAATCCACCTCTATCCATGCACCTGATCCAAGGCCATACCCCAGGGATGCTCAATATCTTTTTGCCAATGACTATACTGGCAGTGATGACATGATAAAGATGAAGGTGGATAACAGGTAGATGTCAGCGACGCTGTTAGAGTCAGCCTGTCTATGCCCTCAAGAGTGGGCTTATCGAGGCCCTCACGCTATCTTCTTGGATGTGGAAGTGGGGGAGAGTATCCAAGAGTAGAGGTTGTGGGCAACGACTTCCATCTCCCATGCCACCTCCCTTGAGTAGGCCACTGTCCATTTCTTGCCCAAAATGTAGCAGCAGCCCCCTGACATTTCTCTCATTTCT